TTGAAGTTAAATTCCTTGGGGTCATAGGATCCCAGTCTCATGACTAGAAGCAGCTCTAATTAGCTGCCTTTTTTTTTTAAAAAAGATGACTGGTAAGGGGATCTTAACCCTTGACTTGGTGTTGTCAGCACCACGCTCTCCCAAGTAAGCCATGACTGGACCCAAATTAGCTGCTTTTGCATGACATGCATACTACTCTTCCTCCCAGATCCTGGCATAGCCTCATTTCCCTGTCTCACACCTCTGCCTGCTCACCTCCACAAGATACCTGTGCTCCTGACATACTGCAGGCCAAGCATTCAGGAAAGGCCAGAAATGAAGGTGCATCCAGAAACATGTTTTATTCAACCTGGGATGTCTAATAAAGACTCTGGACATTTAACAAACTTGTTAGTTTACAAATGCTACATTTATTGTGAGAGGCAGAGGAAGGCCTCAGACAAAAGAACACACATCCCACTACATTATCATAACCTGGATCAGGGATCCTGGAGCCAAGCAAATTAAAGTCAACATTCAACAATCAAGCTATGGGTAAATGACCTTAAGACCTTGTATCTGAAATCCACAAACCTGGGCCTTCTGTTCAACCTCAATGATAGTTAGATCTGAAACCGAATCTGTGGGATAAGCACTTGGTTTTCTTTGTTTTGGTTTGGTTTTTTTTGGCAGCTGGCTGGTACAGGGATCAAACCCTGGACCCTGGCATTATCAGCACCAAGTTCCAACCAATTGAGCTAACTGGCTAGCCTCTTTAAAAATAATAATAATAATAATAATAATTTAAAGCAACAACTCATTTTGCTTTTATCCTGAATAAAATATTTCATCTGCAGCAGCCGCCAAGGAATATTTCAGTTCCGATGGCATCTAGTGATGACAGTAGCACTGGCTGTGTGCTGAGTGCTTACTATGAGGCAGGCACTGTGCTAAGTGCTCATGCATCATCTCATTTAACTAATGTCAGTTGGTCCATTCTCAGCAGACATGGAAAGCACAGCGTGCTAATAACTGGGAGGATTTGCAGTCAGCTCTGCAAATGTACATAAGCATCTCAGTCTCCAACCCATTTCTACAAGACTAGGAAGGAAGAGGAGCCTGCAGCTTGTCAGAGATGGCTTCTTTAGAGGAAACTGACAGTGCAACTTCTCCAACTCTGATAAATTCACATGTCCTAACCTGCTTGCCTATAAACTGGGATTTGAAGAAAGTTTTCCCACTTCTGGGACACCAGAAGTTGGAGCAAAGCACTGTTATTAGTCACAAGAAAAGATGAAACTTAACCTGTTTCCCAAGTGCTCATAAACTGCTTAAAGCTTATTTTAAAGGAAGTAGACGGAGCGGGGAGTAAAACGTGGCGGGGCCTTCTCTTCACCTGGGCAGACTCTGAGAAGGTTCTGGCAAAGCCTCTGAACACAGCCAGCTCTGGAGGAACGGCTGTGCTGGGGGAAGGGAGGCTCCAGCCTAACGAAGGAGCCGACCCCACCCTTAAACTTCAAAAGGTGCAGCAGAGCGAGCCTACGGGGTCCTCTGGGGGACGCTCGGGCTTTCCCTGGCCAGGGGTGGGGGAAGCGAATCAGGAGGCCCGGTGGGGTGAGGGGAGAGGAGCTGCGGGCGCCGCGGCGGGGTGGGTGCGGGGGTGGGTGCGGGGCGAGCCAGAGCCTCCTAAGGAAGCCCGGAGGACTGGGCTGCGGGAGCTGGACGGCGGCCGGGTTCTCTTTAAAAAAAAAAGGGAGGGCGGGGAGGGAGAAGAAGAGAGAAGAAAACAAAAAACCTCGTCTGAGCTTGACTCTTGGCGGTGGTGCTTTTGCCAGCGCCTCTGCAGCGGTTCCCAGGGAAAGCCTGCCAGACAGGGACAGACGGACAGACCAATGGAGCGGAAGAGAGGCCGGAGCCGGCTTGGAATGTTCCAGGGGGTGGGGAAGGCTGCACCGACTCTTAAATAATTGGTTCGGAGACAATTGGCCATCCTATGGAAAAGATAAAATAGATCCCTATCTCTCAGCAGGCCTCCAAATAAATTCCAGATGAACTAAAGACCTACGGGGTCTTTAAGCAAAATTAATATGGAGCTTTTGGAAGAAAACACAGAATGATAGCTGTATGACACTGGGATAGGCAAAGGTTTAACAAGGTAGAAAACGTGCAAAAGGAAAACATGGTAAACTTTACATGAAGATTAAAATCTTCTCTATGACAAAAGCCATCATATACAGAGTGTAAAGACAAGCCATAGACTGAGAGGAAATTTGCAACCCAAACAACAAAGAATAAATCTGTAGAGTATCTTAAAATGTCTAAGAGAACCCAATAGAAAAACGGGCAAAGGGATCTGGCTGGTTAGCTAACTTGGGAGAGCATGGTGCTGCAAACACTAAGGTCAAAGGTTCAGATCCCTATACACAGCAACGACAAAAAAAAATTAAAATTAAAATTAAAATTAAATATATATATATATATATATTATATGGGCAAAGAGTATGAACAAGCAATTCACAGAGAAAGAATCCCAAAAAAGGTCAGTAACAAAAGAAAAGTTAATCAATTTCAGTTGTGATCATAACTGGAAATTTCAACTGCAAAGCCCCATTCAGCATCCACAGAACTGTTAAAAATGAACATCTGGGGGGGCCAGCCTGTGGCTCGCTTGGGAGAGTGTGGTGCTGACAACACCAAGTCAAGGGTTAAGATATCCTTACTGGTCATCTTTTTAAAAACAAAAAACAAAACCCCAGAAAGTAACAAGTGTTGGTGGAGATAAAATCAAAACTGCCAAAAGACAAAATTACAACAAATTCAGATTAAAGATTTTGTGTGTGTGTGTGTGACTGGTTGGTACAGGGATCAAAGCCTGGAACTTAGTGTTATCAGCACCACGCTCTAACCAACTGAGTTAACCAGCCAGCACAAGTTTAGAGTTATTTATTTATTTTTTTTTTGTCTTTTTCGTGACCGGTAAGGGGATCGCAACCCTTGGTGTGGTGTCGCCCGCGCCGCGCTCAGCCAGTGAGCGCACCAGCCATCCCCGCGGCGGGAGTGTCCCTGCGCTCCCAGAGCCGCACTCTCCCGAGGGCGCCACGGGGTCGGCCCAAAGTTTAGAGCTCTTAATTGGCTTTTACTGTATTTGTTATTCTAGAACTGGGCAACACCTCATTCTATAAAGTAGAATGAGTGTTCCAATGAGCTGAGCACAGGAGGTTGAATTTATAGACAGAAAAGGGATGGAAGAAGTAGAAACAGAAAACAAAACACAGATTGGTTGTTTCAAAGTTACTTTTCTTGAAAAGGCTAAAGCAGAGGGAATTTCCTTATCATGATGGCTAAAACTGGTGTATTTAGAGATCTGGCTACTAACTCTTCTGATTCCTGAGAAAGTCAGATAAACAATTTGGTTTTGGCTTGGTGATATGGAACATTAGCATGAGTGACTCCATTTTAGTTAGGTCCGTTGGGCCTAGTGCAGGAGCTCAGTCCAAACCTATAAATTTTATTTAACAGAACCCTTGTCCATTGCTGGTGGGAATGTAAAATGGTGCAGCCGCTGTGTTAGAAAATTAGAGGGCTGGCCAGATAGCTCAGTTGGTTAGAGCATGGTGTTATAATACCAAGGTCAAGGGTTCAGATCACCAAACCTGTCAGCTGGGAAAAAAAAAAAAAAAAAACCAAACAACCCGGGCTGGCCACTTAGCTCACTTGGTTAGAGTGTGGTGCTAATCATACCAACCTCAAGGGTTTAAGGATTTGCATCCCCACACCAGCCTGCCAGGGGAAAAAAACCAAACCAAAACAAAACAGAATTACCATATCTATTACTTCTGGGTATATATCCTAAAGAATTGGAAGCAGGGACTCAAACAGATAATTGCACACCCATGTTCAAAGCGGCATCATCCACAATAGCCAGAAGGTGGAAGCAACCCGTGTCCATTAAGGGATGAATCGATAAACAAAATGGAGGAATCCCGAAGACAGTATGCTAAGTGAAAGAAGCCAGACACAAAAGGACAAATACTTTATGATTCTGCCTATGTAAGGGCTCTAGAGCAGTCAGATTCATAGAGACAGAAAATAGAATGCTCATTGCCAGGGGCTGGGGGAGGAGGGAATGGGAAGTTACTGTTTAATGGGCACAGAGTTTCAGTTTGGAAAGGTGAAATAGTTCTGGAGATGGATGATGGAGATGGTACGGAACAATGCCACCGTATTTAAAATCATGCAACTGTATACTTACAACAAATGGTTAAAGTCGTAAATTTTATGTATACTCATATTGTAACGCAATAAACAAAAATAGAAATTTAAAAGAATAAAGTTGGTTTAAATCCAGGTCCTCAACTTAGCAGAGCCGCTCAGGTACACCTGGTCCAGCTCATCAACCTCGCCCCCGCCCCTCCCCAGCCCCGCCCCTCCCC